ACAGCTGGGGCCTGGCCTGTTCTGCTCTGTGACTGTTCTCCATGGGACCTGGGTGGCTGAGTTGCTGCCTTGGGACCATCGGGGCTCTGTGGGCAGAGGTGCTGCTTTGCCTCTACCTAGGAATCAACCCAGACCCAACTCCCTGCCTGCTCTGAGTTGAGCCCGGCTTCTCTGCCTTGCCACGGGTTTGCTGGGGATGCAGAGCGCATGGCTTGCTGACCTGCTTAATTTCCCAGCCGTGTCCTTGCCCCAGCCCTGTGTTCTCCCTTGGTGCAGGGGACAGAAGGGGTGAGCTGGCTCTACTCAGCACTTCCCACAGCACTCACTTGTGATCTGCTCACCCTGCCCCAGGCAGGGCTTGGAGCTGCTGGCCCCTGCCCTCCTGACACTTTTCCTCCTCTTGCAGGGCCTCTGTTCGCTACCAGGGAAGGTCCCAGGAGCGCTCTGTCCAGCCCAAATCCTCTGGACATGGTCTGTCCCAGCTGAGGAATGTGGCATCTTCTGGTAAGCTTGCCCCCCTGCGTTAAAGAGGATGAAGGGTCTTACACTGCAGGCTGGGGGCAGCTGCTGTCCTGGGCAGTGTGAGGGTTAGCAAGAACTGGGTTCTGTCCTGCTCTCTGCGGCTACCTCACTGCAGTGGCCTGGGGAGGGCAACTTCCCCAGTCTCCTGCCAGTGAGAAGATCTTGCTTTGTCAAGCACCTCCTTCTTCCCAGATGCCATCAAGAAACACCAGAAGAGCCTGTCTGCATGGTTCAGCCACCAGCCCAATGAGGAGAGGCAGTTCGGCCCTTCCTTCTCACTGGACGCAGTCCATGTGGACCCAGTGATCCGGGAGAGCTCCCTGGAGGAGATCCTGAAGCCCTCGCCTGAACTAACCATCCAGAACCAGCTCCAGCAGCCCCGTAGCCAGGTTATCAGCCTCCAGAACCTTTTCGATGTGGATGCCTGCGGGCGGCAGGTGAAGAACGTGGTGCTGTACGGCACAGTGGGCACGGGGAAGAGCACCCTCATCAAGAAGATGGTGGTGGACTGGTGCCACGGTCTCCTACCCCGCTTTGAGCTGGTCATCCCCTTCTCATGCGAGGACCTGTCCCATAGTCATGCCCCCATCTCCCTGCGACGCCTCATAACCAAGAAGTATCAGCACCTCCGGGATGTGGTGCCAATGCTGGGCACTTCCAGCCTCAAGGTGCTTTTCATCCTTAATGGCCTGGAGCGCCTCAACTTGGACTTCCGTCTGGCTGGCACAGAGCTGTGCTGTGACCCCAATGAGCCTGTGCCTCCCTCTGCGATCGTGGTCAACCTGCTGCGAAAATACCTGCTGCCAGAGGTTAGTCTTTTCCTCCAGCTCCTGAATGCTGGAGAGAGAGTGGGGGTGAGTCCTGGGTCATTGCAGGCATGGCCGTGGTGCTAATTGCTTTTTGTCCAGCCTGGTGGTGAGCAAACAGGCAGCCTCCATTCCTGGAGGGACTTACAGAGGCGACTTATTTGTCTCTGTGAGAGACAAGGCCTGGTGAGGCAAAGAAGGTAGTCTGCTGGGCTGTGGTCCTCCAGACGTGATATGGGTCCAGCAGGGGATGGGGAAAGCTCTTCTGTCCCCTCTGTCTGGGCCAGATTTGAACCAACATCCTTTGTGCAGCAGGTTCTTGAGCCCCAACTCCCTGGGTGGTGGGATCCTCGTGTACCTATATGTGGGTTACACGCTTGGGACCCTGTTGAGCTTAGATCAAAGCCACAGAGGGAACAACTCCAAACTCACCTAGCTCTCTGTTTCCAGGCCAGCATCATTGTTACCACACGCCCATCAGCAGTGCGCCGGATTCCTGGCAAGTACGTGGGCCGCTATGCCGAGATCTGTGGCTTCTCTGACACCAACCTGCAGAAAATGTACTTCCAGATGCGTCTTAGCCAGCCTGGCTGCAGTGGAGAGAACAGTGTGAGTAGCAGCTCAGGTGAGCAGGAAAACCTGGTGGAGATGTTGTCGAGGAACTTGGAGCGCCACAACCAAATAGCTGCCGCCTGCTTCTTGCCTTCTTACTGCTGGCTGGTGTGCACCACGCTGCATTTCCTCTACTTCACCAGGACAGTGCCTCCCAGCCAGACCCTGACTGGCATCTACACCAGCTTCCTGAGGCTCAACTTCAGTGGGGAGGTGCTGGACAGCACTGACCCCACCAACATCTCCATGATGAAGTATGTGGCCAAGATGGTGGGTAAGCTGGCCTACAAAGGGGTGATGTCCCGCAAGACTTGCTTCTCAGAGGAAGACCTGCAGCAGTGCTTTGAGGTGGAGATGAAGACTGAGAGTGAGCTCAATCTCCTGGAGGTCTTCCGTAGCGATGTCTTCCGCTTCTTCCTCACTCCGTGTGTGCAGCCAGGCAAAGAGCACACCTTTGTCTTCACCATCCCTGCTATGCAGGAGTACCTGGCAGCCCTGTATGTGGTGCTGGGTGAGAAGAAGACCCTGACACAGAGAGTGGGGAAGGAGCTGTCAGAGGTTATTGGGAGGGTGAGTGAAGATGTTGCTGTCGTTGTGAGTATCATCTCTAAGGTGTTGCCCTTGCGCTTCCTGCCAGTGCTTTTCAACCTGCTCAAAATCTTCCCTCGCTACTTCTCCCGGCTGAGCAGTAAGGACCGGGATACTATTGCCCACACCATGGCAGAGGAGCTGTTCAAAGAAGAGGACTACTACAATGATGATGTCTTAGACCAGATAAATTCCAGCATCCTGGGTGTGGAGGGCCCCATGCGCCACCCTGATGAGTCCCGCGATGATGAAGTCTTTGAGCTCTTCCCCATCTTCATGGGTGGGATACTGTCCCGCCGTAACCGCGCCATCCTGGAGCAGCTGGGCTGCTCCATCAAGAACCTGGCAGCCTTTGAAATCGCCAAGGCCATGAAGAAGACAGTCATCAGGAACAGCCGCAAGGGGCTTCCCCCCTCTGAGCTGATGGACTACCTCTTCTTCCTGCACGAGTTCCAGAACGAGCGCTTCACAGCTGAGGCCATCCGCTCCCTCCGGACTGTGAACCTCTCATCAGTCAGGATGACCCCTCTCAAGTGCTCTGTCCTGGCATCTGTCATGGGCACCACGTGCCATGAGGTGGAGGAGCTAAACCTGACCTCTTGCAACCTTGACACGAGCAGCTTGAGGATCCTCTTCCCCGTCCTGCTGCGATGCAAAGCCCTCCAGTGAGTAACATCTTCTGCCCTTGGGCAGTTCTCAAAAATTTGGCTCTCCCTCACCTTTGCCCATCCCAAGAATACATTAGGAACCCGAACGTGGCAAAGGCAGAGAAGGGCATGCATGCCCTTCTTTATCCTTAGTGCAGACCTAGTAGACTACAGCTTCCGACGTGCAGCACTCCTTGAGCAGCCTTGCTAAGGCACTGCATGCTGGGATTTGCAGTGCCAACACACCCTCCTGTAGCACTCTGAGCAGCTCTCTGCATCTGCCACCACAGGCTGCACTACCAGCTCCCCCGGCAGACGCTGGTCCCTCCTATTGCCTGGCCTCCCGGAGCCCCCCAGTGTTTCCCTACAGCTAGCTCTGCTACTGCTAACTCCGGGCAGGAGATACGCAGCCCAAGGGTGGGAATCTGGGCCACACAAAGGGGTGGGTTTTGTTGCAGTCCATTTGTGGGACTGCAGTCTTCCTGCCGCCCAGGGGGTGGCGAGCCGTGCTCAGCAGAGATGCACTCGGCTGTGCAGCAGGGCTGTGCGGCACTTCCTTCCTCCAGATGCTCAGGAGGGCTCGGAGGGGTCCTGATCCCTCCTCAGACCTTCACCCATCCCCTGCAGAACCTGCACCCCCTTCCCCTCCCTTGCTCCTCCTGTCACTGGTTCTGCTGGCTACCTAAGCTCTCATGCAGTTTCAGTATGCTCTCTTTTGGAGAGGAAGCCTTCCGTGGCCTTGTCTGGGGAGCCCAGGTTGGATGGTGACAGGGAAGGCCAGGGAAAATGGAGAGAGCAGGGTTGCCAGCACCAAAGATAACAGCCATTTCATTCCTGCCACCCCAATGTCTTGCCCTGCATCAGTCTGCAGCTCAACAGCCTGGGCTCCGACGCTTGCAAGGAAGTCCGTGACCTGCTCCTGCATGACAAGTGTGTGGTGAGCAAACTGCGGTGAGTACTGCCTCTGTCCTTGCATGAAACTTGCGTGTGCCCTGGCCCCGTGCCCCCTGCCTGGCCTCAGCATTGCCCTGAGCTCTTGTGTCCACAGGCTGGCGAACAACCCTGTGGGTGAGCAGGGGGCACAATACCTGGCCGAGGCGCTGGCAGGCAACCGCTCGCTGACCCATTTGTCCCTGCTGCACACTGGGCTGGGGGACCGCGGTGCCGAGGTCATTGCTCAGCACCTGGCCGAGAACCAGCACCTCCAGGAGCTCAATCTAGGCTACAACTCCCTGACGGACACAGCCGCCCTGCGCGTGGTGGAGGTGGCCAAAAAGCACGCAACGCTGGACGAAGTGCAGTGAGTTCACTCTGCCCCAGCTCTTCCCTCTTGCAGGCAAGGCCTCTGAGCCAGTGTCCCTCCCCATGGCAGTGCACAGGGAGCCCCTGTCTGCCTCCGCATCCTGCCTCCCAGCGCTCACAGTGTCTCCTGCTCCTTTTCTCTCAACCCACAGTCTGTACTTCAACGACATCAGTGAGGATGGCAAGCGGGCTCTTCACAGCCTGCGCATGGACCGGGATGGTGTCAGGGCACTGGTCTTCCTTACAGCAGGCACCGATGTCTCCGACTACTGGTCCAACATCCTGAACGTGGTGCAGAAGAACCTGGCTTTCTGGGACCGCGAGCGGGTTCGGCAGCACCTTACCCTCATCCTGCAGGACCTGGAGAGCAGTCGGAAACAGACTTCCAATCCCTGGAGAAAAGCCAAGTTCCTACGAGTCGAGAGTGAGGTCAAGAAGATGCTGGGAAAACTGCAGCATGGGACCCTCTGACCTGCTGTCCAGCCATCCACCTGGCCAGGGAGAGAGCAGTGCTGCTGGGGAAGAAACACTGGAGTGTGCCCCAGCAGCACGTCCCCTGTGCCCTTCTCTGTGTGGAGATGCCTAGTGGTCGGGTGCTACCAAGGCTGTCAAAGGTGCTGGGTATGTGGGGCTCAGCCCGCATCTGCGGGCGAGGCTGAAGTGTGGGAGAACTGTACAGACAGCAGGCCAGGAGCAAATGGGACTTTGTTCTTCTGGGCTTGTAGAGACCCAGCCCCTGCACCCTGGCCACTGCCGCCTGGCCACGAGCCACAGCAGTGGCAGAGGGGCAGGACTCAGGCTTGCTTGTAAAACCTTTGGTAGCATTAAAGTGCACCGCTTTGTTTCCACTGAAGCTCACTAGTGCCAAGACTCCATCTCCTCTGCGGGCCCTTCCTGGGGGAGGAATGCGGAGGTGCTGGTGCAGCCGTCCCTGCAGCAGTTGGAGTAGAGGACCCTGGCCCTTCCCCATCTCACAGGGCGAGGATGGGGCAGCCCACTTCTGCTCCAGCCCATCCTGAACCAGTCGGTCTTCCCCACCATGGGCTGCCCTTGGTGGCAGCTGGAAGCTGGGGCACCGGGATCTGTTCCCAGGCTGGGTGTCCCCAGGGTGCTGGTCCCTGCTCTTAGCTCTGCTGGGTGAGGGCTGGCAGTGCCCCAGGGCAGGGAGGGCAGGGGAGACATCGGAGCTGTTTAACCATTAAACGTCTTACAAGAGGCGGGGACACTTCCCTGCCACTTCATCCTGTACCTTGCTCCCTCCTCCATTCCCTGCAGCCATGAAGCAAACAAAAGGTATGTGCCGGGGCAGTGGGGCCCACAGAGACCCTTCACCACACGCATATCTTCAAGCCCTGCAAGGGCAAGGCGATGTCAGAGCCCAGGCAGACCATGGAAAAGGAGCTAGAGGCATCCAGGAAAATGGGGGCACTTGGCAAGAATCCCTTCTCTGTGGATTTGGGGGTCCTTGTGCTGGAAGAGGTGGGGAGGGGTTTTATGGGGAGGTGTGTGAGGGAGAGACTCTGTCTCCATCTCCGGCCTCCAGCCAGCTCTCTGGGACCCTGGTGACCCTTCTCGTACCTCACTCAGAAGCCCTGTGAAGCCTCAGGACCAACCTCCATCTGCATACCGTTGCCTGGCCCTACTTTGCCCCTGGTGTTATAGGACCCCTCTGGGCTGAGCGGGTGCCCATTGGACCCCAGCAGCAGGTGTCCCACTGCTTTGAAACGCAATGGAGGCGGAGGGGCTGGGGGGTGGGGGCACTGTGTGGGCTTGGCAAGCCCACCTCACCCGGCGTGGCATGCTCAGCCTGTGGATGGATAAGCTCTGAGTGCTCAAGAGTTGTGGGGTCTTCTCCTGGCCCTCCACCTCCAGCACTGACTTCTCCTCTTCCTCTGCAGGGCTCGAGGGTGACAAGAAGTCCATCGTGTAAGTGCTGAGCTCCCCCTGGGCAGGGACTTTCTGGGCCTTGTGGCACCACAAATGGGCTATGCTGGGGCACATTCTCAGCTCAGGTGGTGTGGGTCACAGCTGCCAATCCCAGGCCTGCCTCAGGTCCTCCCTGAGTTGTTAACTCAGAAGAGATGTGGGAGACAGTCCAAGGGGGAGATCCATCCTGGCTTTTCCCAGGGAAGAGAAGGCACTGGAGCTGTGGCCCCAGCTGGCCCTTTCTGGGAGGAATGGGGCTTGTCACACCATGCTATTGCACTTATGTGCCCTCTCCTGCCCTTTATAATTTCAGAAAATTTGAATTTAACCCCAAAGATGGGATCGACAACCCTGCCTTGTCGCTGGCTGAGGACATGGGTAAATACCCTCATCTTCTCAGGGCATCCCTGTGTCAGCATGGGGTTCTGGCAGTGGGGCATCACTGGGTTCCTGGGCTCTCTCATGCCAGGGAGCTGTGGGGAGGTGAACATTTAAGGCAGCAGAATGTGGAGATCCCAGCCTGGGATGGGGTAGAGAACCTCTGTTAGGATCCCTACTCGTGTGCTGTGCCCCTCACAGATGGTGAAGGTGTTGGGGAGCCCCGCTTCTACCTCCTGAACAAGGGCAGTACAGAGACCTATGGCTTCTGCCTCCACGAGGAGCTGGGCTGCCAGGGCCACATCATCCGGCAGGTCGAGCTGGGAGGGCTGGCCCAGCGCAGGGGGCTGCAGGATGGGGACCGGCTCCTCCAGGTCAATGGCCAATTTGTGGACCACATGGACCACCGCAGGGTAAGCTGGGAGCACACCAGGGTTGTGGGGAAGGCCGGGTCCTCCCCAGCCAGGGGCACAAAGGGTATGGGACCCTGCTGCCCTCCAGGGTTGCAGGGGTGCCCTATCCGGGCTTCACAGCCTGGATCCTTCCAGGTGGTGCAGAAGATCAAGGCCAGCGGGAACCAGGTTCTACTGGTGGTGCTGGATGGGGACTCCTATGAAGCAGCCAAAGCCCTGGGCAGGGACCTGTCCCAGATGCTGCCAGCTGACATGCGCCCACGCCTCTGCCACATCACGCGGGACAAAAGCGGTTTTGGCTTCAGTGTGTCGGGTCCAGAAGGTAAAGCAGGCAGCGGGATGGCGGCGCCACAAGCCTCCCTAGCACAGCATCCCACTCACCCCAGACTGCCTCTGCTCCCTGCAGGCGTGAAGGGCACCTTCCAGCTGTCAGTGCGGCAGGACGGGCCAGCGGAGAGGGCAGGGGTGCCACCAGGCTCCTGGCTCCTGGAGCTGAACGGGGCCAGTGTGAGGAGCTACTCGCACACGCAGCTCGCCAGAAAGGTGTGTGCCCTCCCACGGGTGGGTGGGGGGCCGGGGACAGCGATGTCGCTGAGCACCCTGCATTTCTCACCCAGCTTAAGCAGAGCGGCAGCAAGGTGACGCTGCTGGTGGCATCCAGTGCCGTGGAAGAGTTTTACCGCCTGCGGGGCCTGCGGGTCACGGCCGCCTTGGCGGACACCTCCTGGCTCCCCTTCAAGGTCCGTGAGCTGCACATGGTGAAGGGTCCAGCTGGCTACGGGTTTCTGCTCAAGGAGGATGACTGCATCTCAGGGGCCATAGGTGAGAGGGCCGAGGGGGGCAGTGCCCACCTGAGCAAGGCATGTTGGAAGGACAGGAATAGCTGCAAGCCCTGTGCCCACAGAGGGACCCTGTCCCCACCTGCACACAGGGGTCAGCATTGCCGGTTCCCCTCTGGCCAAATGCCTCTGTGAGCAGCTCCCCACCCTCCCTCTGTGGCAGGCCAGTTCCTGTGGGATGTGGATGCGGGGCTGCCAGCTGAGCAGGCAGGGATGAAGGAAGGGGACCGTCTCCTGGCCGTGAATGGTGAGAGCATCGAGGGGCTGGACCACTACCAGACAGTGCTCAGGATTCGTGCCCGTGATGACCAGGTGACGCTGCTGGTCATTGACCCTGCCGGTGATGAGTTCTACCAGTCGGTAGGTTTGGGGCACCCAGTGCGGTCCCTCCCTGGTTGGGGAGACCTGGGGTGCTGCAAAGCTGGATGGTGGGATGGGTATCTTACCCCTAGGCCTGCACAGTGAGGTCTTCTCCAGGGGACCTGACTTGCCATGAAGCGCCAGGAGCCGTACAACAATCCTTCTTCTGTTCTTCTAGATTGGGCTGTCCCCTCTGCTGTTCTTTGAGGACAGTGACCCTGCCTCAGGCTCCTGCATGCCCTCCCTGCCCTCTCCTAGTGGGTCCCCTGGACCCTGTCACGTTGAGGTGGGACCAAAGGGACCTGGCTCCTGGCTGATGGCTGCTGCCAACAGCATAGAGATCACACAGGTAACCTCTCTTGCCAGGCCTTTGTGGCAGTGCTGCTCACAGCCTGGCACTGCTCTGAGTCCTACCACCCTCCTGCCCTGCCTGTCCTAATATTTTCCTGGTACCTGTGAGGCTGGCAGGAGGGGACTGTGGGGTTCCCCAGCCACAGGGGCCAGGCAGAAAGGGGCAAGCTCCATGGGGCAACGGTGGAGTATGAGGGGGCAGGTGGATATGTGTTGCCCACAATAGCCCTGCTGTATCTCCACAGAGTCTGCGCAAGGAGGAGCACAGGAGGTTGCACCAGGCATTCTAGTGGCTCAGGACCACCCTGCCTCCAGCCACATCGAGCCCATCGCTGCCCCACGCCTGGCTCCTCGGAAAGCACAGTGCTGCTCAGCATGGCTGTTGCACGAGTAACTGCTGTGTCTCTGTGCCCGTGATGGGGCTCACACTCCCCAGAGACTCATCTCCACTGACCAAGGCTGGCTCCAAGCTTTTATTGACCATGGCGGTGGCTTCCTGTAACCTGAAGACAGACCCGTGTCTTCGCCTGCCCAGCTGCCTCCAGGGAGATCTAGGGACATTGCACTGAAGCCCTTGCCCAGCTCCAGGCTCTGGCAGCTCCCAGGAGAGCTGAGCCGAGCCTGCCCTCCGTGGCATGACCCAGGGGACTGGGGAGCATGAGGCTTAGCTCAGTCCAGGGATGGCCTTTGGGCCATTGCGTGAAGGGGAATGGGATCAGCAGAGGCCGATGGGGTATTGGAGTAACACCCCCTCCTCTCAGCCTGTTGGTTCGGGTTTGTCCCTGCATGGACATCTTTCTCCTCCTCTTCTCCTCCTCCCTGTGAACCCGTGGGCAGTGAGTGCCCGCTACCTGTCACCGTGCTGTTCCTGTGTCACCCATTTTGGGTGTGATTAAAGGACAAATCCACGCTGCTGTTCATGTGTTTGTGTTGTGGAGAGGACTGTGACTCAGCAGGACATCCCAGGGCCAGATGGGACCCATCTTCTCTTACCTAGCCTGGGGCAGCTGCAGTGTTGCGCAGTGGATGTGGAAGCTGATAGGCAGTGTGCTGATAGGTAGGTGGGGGCTGACCCCATCCCCACCCACTAGCCAGGGCAGGCATGCGGGGGTCCACACTGAGCTGCTCCTGCAGGCTCTTCACCTTCGCCTCCAAGTGCTGGCACTGGGCTGCTGCCTGCTTATGTAGCTCCTGGTATTGCCAGATCATTTCTAGGAGCCAGGAAAGGGAGAAGGGGACAAAGGTGGTGACTACAGGGGGGACAAACAGGCAGTCCCTGTGCTTGGATCCCAGCACCAGGCAGAAGCTTCAGCAAGACCAGACCCAAGGGTTCCCCTTGCAGGGTGACGCATCGGAAGCAGCAATGCGTGCACCCTCTCCCTGCCTGGCAGGGCTGTGACAATGCTGGGGGTGGGGGGCAGGAGGGAGCCCTGGAGGGAAACTTTTACCTCTCTGTTGAGCGTGGGAGAGCGAAAATGAGCACGGAGTTTTGCATGTGGCAAAGACCGCAAACCTCTGGCTGAGGTTTTACCTCTGCTAAAATCAGCCCCTTCTTGAGCACTAACGGAAATAGCGAGGCACTGGCTTTCGCAGGCAGGGAAGTCTCTGTCTCTGTGGTCTCCTCTGCCTGTGTCACTGAGTCTGCATCTGGGGTGCAATGAGTCCATGTCCAGCTCCTTTGCATGCTGACAGCATGGGAGGGAGCAGGCTGGCCAACAGCAGGGTGCGTTGGGGTTGAGCGGTCAAGGCCCAGGGGAGAGGTGGGGTAAGCTTGGCTGGTTTTCCCCAGCAGCACCAAGGTGTGGGGTCCCCACGTCTGTCCCACTGCCTCCTCCCATCTCTGCCCCCTGCTTCATGAATGTCTTGCTTGTCTTCCTGTGCCTGCTCCAGTGCCTTCTCCAGGTCCCACAGCTTCCACTTGAGGCTTCCATTGTCAGCTTTTGCCTGTCAGATCATGTCCCTCCAAGGAAGCTGCCATGGAGACAATATGTTTCCTGATAGGTGACCCAAACCATGAGCCTGGTGGCCTAAGCACTAAGTCAAAGGGCACTATCCAAGCCATTCTGGGTGGCTATTCCTTGCCCAGTACCTCCTTGGTACATTGGCTCAGCAGTGACTTATTTCTAGCCTTTCTCTGCTGCCAAAGCCAGGGGCATGTGGGCACCTCCTCAGCCCGTGCCTGTCCCTGAGCCCTGCCTGAACCAGAGTGAATCTCATGGCAAGAAACTTTCCCTTCGTATGAGCCTAGCACTGTGCTAGGGAAGGCTTCCAGAGGGGTGTCCCACCACAGCATCCCTACCACCCCCCATCTGCTTTCAGCATTGCTCCTCTCTTTCTCTGCCATCTCTGTAGCCCTGCTGGCCTCTGTAAGCAGCTGCTGTGCTGCACACCAGGGACTTTTGGAACAGCGCCGGCCCTCCTCTCCAGCATACCCTCCTGCTCAGTGCTGTGAGTTTTCCCCTGGGGACTGCGACTGCATTTGGATCTTCTTTATAAAATAGGAGAGGGAAGAAAAGCAAGTATTTAAAACTGCTGTTTCTGCTCAGGATGTGGTTAACCCCAAATACCTGTGAGCGAGCAGGTGATTCCTGGGTGTGCTGCAGTTCAGCAGGATGGGGACCTTGTTGTGCGGGGAGGCAGTGGGAGCGGGGAGCTGGTATGTGGGGAGGCTCCAGGGCCACCCACTGCCAGGGCAACCTGGGGATGCCTGGCAGGGACACACAGTCCTGCTAGAGGAGCTGCAAGGGTGACAGGCTGGGCGTGGAGAGCAGAGGGAGCTAGATGTGGGCCAGGGACGGTGGTGGGGGCTATTTCCCTGTGCAGGCACAGAAGCTGGCATGCACCTTGTGCACACGCATGCACACGCGTCTGAAACCCCTGCCTGGCCATGCAGCGCTGAGCAATCAGAGGGGCAGCAGTGCACGTGCAAGCCTGGCAGCTGGCTGGCAGGCAGTGTGAGGCACACAGAAGGGAAGGGGAGCACACACTTATGCCCAACCTTGGCTGGCACAACCAGCAAAGGACCTGGACGCTGCTCTCACCCACAAACATACAGCAGACACACTCAGGTGGCCAGAGGCATCCAGGCACCTCTTGTCTGCCAGCCACCAGGCTGGAGGGACGTGATTTCAAAACAGCCAGAGTGAGGCGGCTTTCCAGTGCAGTGGTGGTGAGTGAATGCTGTGCTGCCCTGGCAGGGGCCCGAGGGAGGGAAACACATGGGAGCCCTGCAGAAGAGTGCTGGACTTCTTGTTCCTGCTGGGAAGGAACAGTCCCAGCGGAAGTAACCTTTACTTGAAGTCTTTCGTGTAAATACAGCCGCGACTTGGAGTGAATCATGCCCAGAGAAGCAGATAGTTAGGAATGCAATTGCTCAAGCATGTTCCCTGATCTCTTTGGATTGGGGCCATGGTGATTTTTATATTTGGCTCCAGAAAGCTGGTGTAACCCTCCCCAGCCCTCTCTCCAGGTACTTGTGGTATCCCAGAGCTGGCCAGGGCACCCTCCGGTGGTCAACCCGGCTTGACTATTAGCCAGAATCCATTAGCATCTAATGGGAAAAGCCTCAGGAACACAGCCTCAATAAATGTTAACATATTTGAGGTCAATATAATCCTTAGGAAAATTTGCCCAGGTAATTAAAGCCAGACAAGGAGCTGCCTGTCCCAGAAATATTTACCAGGCTTTACCAAAGGCAGTAAAATCAAGACAGAGAGTTTTATAACTGATCTATGCCGGGCTCCCTTGCTATACCCAGTGCAGCATGCTGTTTCCCACTGTCCTGCCCATCTGACGCCTCAGCAAGCCATGTGCTATGTAGGTAATCATCACGAGCCAGCAGCCAACAGACTCGTGGAAGAAAGAAGTGCTGAGGCTGTGCGGGGCAGTACAGTGCTTTGTCGTGACGCAAGCAGGCTGATGTGTGATGTGTGTGCACAGCCAGGGCAGCGATGGTAGGAGCACAGCCTCACTGCTGGCAGTGCCACAGGCTGAGCAGAGAGCCCTGTGGCATGTCCCAGGCTGGCAGGGGCTGAGCAGAGCAGCAAAGTGTGGTACGTCCCTCCTGTGGCAGATGGTGTACAAGGGCAGTGGCTTTTCCATGCTGCTGAGGCTTTGTGCACCTGGCACCCCAGGGGTCCCAGCACCCGTGCAGGAGTGCTGCACCCCATGGGTGCCACAGGGGAAGCGAAGGGGTGAGCTCTGTTATAGTGTTCTCTCCAGTGTGGCCCCCAGCTCTCCAGAGGCTGAGGTTGTGCTGTCTGACCTCCAGGCCTGAGCTCTGGGTGATCACACTCCCCAAAGTGAGACTGCCCAAACTGCATCATTTGCTGGTTGGTTTTTTCTTTCCTCCTTCAAGCCTGTGTTGTGAAACCGACTGAAGTGTGTACCAGCCTCACAAAGGAAGTGTTCTTCTGCCTGGGAAAGAAGGCTGAAAAGAGGATCTGAAGGCAGTGAAGAAACAGAACTTACTTTTGAGCCCATGTCGTAATTTCTGAAGGTTTGGTGTTGTCAGCTCTGCCAAAAGATTGACCTATTACCTGATCTCCTTTTCTCTCCCTGTTCTTCCATCCGCACTTAGCACCCAGCCTGTGTGTGCTCCCACTCCCAGTGACCTGTTGGAGCCGGGCTACAGGTAACAGGGAGCTCCAATGGGTTTTTTTCTTCCCCTGCCTTTCCAGAGGGAGACACCTTGAAGACACCGAGAGCAGCCAGGTGCCTTCCAACCGCACCCTGGTGCTACCAGCTGTTGGTCCATCTCCCTGCGGCTGGCTGTGCTCCTGCCTGGCATCCGTCACTGGGCGCAGCCCCAACAGCAGAGGGGAGCTGTGCTGCGGGAGAGGGCTGTGCCCCCCCTCCAGCAGGGGCAGTGCCCGGGGCGCTGCTGCATCCCGCATGCTGCATCCCGCATCCTCTATCCTGTATCCTCCACCCACATCCTCCATCCTGCATCCTCCATCCCGCATCCTCCACCCGCATCCCCCACCCTGCATCCCGGGGGCGGGGTCCCGGTGGCACCGGGATAGTTTGGGGTCTGTTTCTCTGCCGCTCCGGGGGCCGGCAGCCCCGCTGCCGAGGGCTCGCCGTTGGGGTGCGGTCCCCGCCCCGGGCTGGGCTCAGCCCCCGCTGCCGCCGCCGCCGGGGCAGGCGGAGGGCCGGC